TGTGTGTGTGTGTGTGTGTGTGTGTGTGTGTGTGTGTGTGTGTAGAACAGGAAAGAACCACAACAAAATGTCAACAAGGCTTATCTCTGAATGGTGAACTTACAGGTGCTGAATGGTGAACTTACAGGTGATTTTTATTTTCTTCTTGTATTTCTCTATATTTTCAAAGACCTACAGCGTATAGGTGATATAACCCCAAGGACCAGGGAATTCTAGCAAATAAGAGAGAACAAGCAACCCACACAACCAGCCATATTTTCCACGTATCCTTTGACTTCTCCTGCACCCCTGTTCTGACCCTACAAACAAGAACTTAAAAGGACAGGCAAAAGGCTGTCCACATGGAGACTGAAGCAATACAAAACTTCCTACAACATATGGGCAATCTTTATTAAATTTCTGAATGCATACACCTTTTGACATAGCAATTTCATTTCTAGGAACTTATCCTAAAAAAGATATTTAAATAACATATATACAAAGTTATTTATTGAAGCCTTTTCATTACAGTGAAATGTTAGAGACTATCTACTAATAGCAGACTGGTTAAAGCATGATACATGCAACAAATGGGAAAAAAAAAAGAGGAAACTCTATATACCGATATAAAAAACCCTTCCAGATATATTTCTAAGTGAACAAAGGCACAGTACAGAAGTATATCTAGAGTGCTACCTGACAGGAACAAGAAAGAATGCATATTCATTTTTGTTATGCTCACACAAAAAATGGAAGGATATACAAGAAACTAGTAACAGCAGTCGTACGAATGCCTGAGGTGGCAATGGGATGGGCAGAAGGACACGGATGACATGGAAGCTTTGTACATAAACATTTTTTTCAACCTATTAAACAATTAAATTAAAAAAACACACAGAGGAGTGACACCAGCAAGACGGTCAAGTAGGCAGATCCAAGCTCCTGTCCACTTATGGAAACACTGCAAAACAAGCAGAAACTATCAGAACCAAATTTGTCAGAACTCTGGAAAACAGTCAAAAGTTTACAGCAACCAAGCAAATGCTGAATCAAGAAAAAGGCAACTGAAAAGGACAGTAAAGCTTTGTGGCATTTGTGCCCCACCTCCTCTCTGGCTTGGAAAACGATGTATGAACAAAATGAGAATATCAATACAGAGATCAAAATTATAAAAAGGAACCAAATAGAAATTCTGAAGATGAAAAGTACAATAACTGAAATGAAAATTCACTAGAGGGTTTAACAGCAGATTTGAGTAGGCAGAAGAAGGAACCAGCAAACTCGAATATAAAACAATTGAAATTACCCAGTATGAGCAGCAAAAAGAAAAGAATGAAGAAAAGTGCACAAAGCCTAAGGGACCCATGGGACACCATCAAGCGGACCAACGTATACATTAGAGGAGTACCAGAAAGAAAAGGGAAAGGGGTACAAAGAATATCTGAAGGAAAAGTGGCCAAAATCTCCCCAAATTTGATGAAAGACATGAATCTACACATCCAAGAAGTCACACACTCCAACCAGGATAAACACAAAGACAGCCACACTAAGACATATTATAGTCAAATTGCCAAAAGATAAAGACTAAGAGAGAATCAGCTCATTAGTACACGGAATTCCCAAGAGTAACAGCTGATTTCTCAACAGAAACCATGGAGGCTAGAAGACAACGGGATGACATTTAAAGCGCTGAAAGCAAAAAACTGACAACAAAGAATTCTACACGTAGCAAACTATCCTTCAAGAATGGAGGACAAATTAAGACATCCCCAGAAAAAAAAAAAGCTAAAGGAGTTCATTACTAGCAGACTCACCCTACAAGAAATGCTAAAGGGAGTCCTTCAGTCTGAAATAAAGAACACTGGTAAAGGTAACTACACAGGTTAAATATAAAAGCCAGTGTTATCATACATTTGATGTTTTAACTCTTCTTATTTGTCTAAATGACTTAAATGTAAATGCACAAAACAATAATTATAAATCTATATCACTGGGCACACAATGAATAAAGATGTAATCTGTGACAATAACAATGTAAAGGGAGGGAGATGTATAGGAGCTGACTACATTATTGGAATCTTGCTGGTATTATTCATACTAGGTTGTTATATATTTAAGATGTTAATTGCAGTCCCTATGTTAACTGCTAAAAAAATAAAAGATATATAGAAAAGGAAAGAAGGGAATAAAAATGATACAGTCCAGAAAAATCAAATAAATTTTAAAAAGGCAGTACTGGAGAAGTTAAGGAACAAAAAACATATAAAACATACAGAAAACAAACAGCAAAACGGCAGAAGTCCTTCCTTATTAGTAATTACGTTGAAGATAAATGGATTATGTTCTCTAATTAAAAGGCAGAGATTGGGAGCATGAATACAAAAACATGATCCATCTATATGCTGTCTAAGAGATTCATTTTAGATACAAGACACAAAGATGTTGACAGTAAAAGCTTAGAAAAACTACTGCATGCAAATAGTAACATAGAGAGAGATGGGGTGGCTAAATTATCAGACGAAATGAATTTTAAGTCAAAAGGTTACAAGAGACAAAAAAGGGCATTATATACTGATACGTTTTGATCCATCAAGAAGATATAACAGTTACAAGCATATATACGCCTAACAACAGAGCCCCAAAATATACGAAGCAAAAATTAGCAACTGAAGGGAAAAATAGTTCCATAAAAATAGCTGGAGATGCCAATAACCCACTTTTAATAATGGGTAGAACAGACAGACAGAAGATCAATAAGGAAATACAGGAATGGAAAAATACTTTAAACCAATTACACCTAACAGACATATACAGAACACCCTACTTAACAACAGCAGAATATACATTCTTCTCAAATCATGCATCATTTTCCAGCATAGATCCTACGTTAGGCCACAAAATAAGTCTTAATAAAGTTAAAAAGACTGAAATCAGATGAAACATCTTCTCCTAACACGATGGAATGAAAATAGAAATCAGTAACAGAAGTAAATGAGGAAACTCAAAAACATGTGGAAATTAACACACCATTAAATTACCAATGGCTCCAAGAGGAAATTATAGGGGAAATCAGAAGATACACTGACACAAATGAAGAAAAACACAACACACCAAAGCTTATGTGCTGCCCCAAAGGCAGACGGTAATATACCCGCAAATGCTTACAGTAAAAAAGACAGATCCCACGCCACTAATCTTACAACCTAAGGAACTAGAAAAAGAAGGGCAAATTAAAGCCAAAGTTGAGAGAAGGAAGGAAGGAATAAACATTAGAGCAAAACGAAATGAAACACAGAAGAGAAAAGCAATATAAAACAAACAAAAAAATCAATGAAACCAAAAGCTGGTTTTTTTTGGAAAGATCAACAAAATTGACATACCTTTAGACAGATAATTAAGAAAAAAAGAATACTCCAATTACTAAAATCAGAAATGAAAGAGGGAATGTTAGTACCAACTTTGGAGAAATAAAAAGGTTTATAAGAGAATACTATGAACATCAGTACACCAACCAATTGGATAACCTAGATTAAATGGATAAATTCTAGAAACAATGACTAAAGCTGACTCAAGAAGAAACAGAAAATCAGAATAGATTCCGAAGGAGACTGAATCAGTAATCGAAAACCTACCAATAGAGAGAAGCTCAGGATCAGATGGCTTCACTTGGGAATTCTACCGAACAGTTAAAGAATTAATAGCAATCCTTCTCAAACTCTCCCAAAAGAAACAAGAGGAAGGAACCCTTCCTAACTCATTCTATGAAGCCAGTATTACCCTGAAACTGAAGCCAAAGACACTACAAGAAAAGAAATTACAGACCAATACCCCTTATGAATATTGATGCAAAATCCTCAACCAACTACTAGCAAATCAAATTCAGCAGCGTATTTAAACAATTACACCCCATGACCAAATGGGATTTATCCCATGAGCGCAAGAGTGAGTCAACCTATAAAAATCAATCAATATACTATACTACAATACTAGAATGGGGGGGTGGGGGGAGGACGGCCCTGATCATCTCAATTGATGTAGAAAAGGCATTTGTCAAAATTCAACATCTTTTCATGATAAAAACGTTCAGCAACAAAATAAAGATGT